TTAGGTACCACTGAGAACAGTCTAGATCCATCCTCTTTGGAACCCCCTTTCAGGTAGTTGAAAGCAGCTATCAAATCCCCCCTCATTCTTCTCTTCTGCAGACTAAACAATCCCAGTTCCCTCAGCCTCTCCTCGTAAGTCATGTGCTCCAGCCCCCTAATCATTTTTGTTGCCCTCCGCTGGACTCTTTCCAATTTTTCCACATCCTTCTTGTAGTGTGGGGCCCAAAACTGGACACAGTACTCCAGATGAGGCCTCACCAATGTCGAATAGAAGGGAATGATCACGTCCCTCGATCTGCTGGCAATGCCCCTACTTATACAGCCCAGAATGCCGTTAGCCTTCTTGGCAACGAGGGCACGCTGTTGACTCATATCCAGCTTCTTGTCCACTGTAACCCCTAGGTCCTTTTCTGCAGAACTGCTTCCTAGCCATTCGGTCCCTAGTCTGTAACAGTGCATGGGATTCTTCCGTCCTAAGTGCAGGACTCTGCACTTGTCCTTGTTGAACCTCATCAGGTTTCTTTTGGCCCAATCCTCTAATTTGTCTAGGTCCCTCTGTATCCTGTCCCTACCTTCCAGCATATCTACCACTCCTCCCAGTTTAGTGTCATCTGCAAACTTGCTGAGAGTGCAGTCCACGCCATCCTCCAGATCATTAATGAAGATATTGAACAAAACCGGCCCCAGGACCGACCCCTGGGGCACTCCACTTGAAACCGGCTGTCAACTAGACATGGAGCCGTTGATCACTACCCGTTGAGCCCGACGATCTAGCCAGCTTTCTATCCACCTTATAGTGCATTCATCCAGTCCATACTTTAACTTGCTGGCAAGAATACTGTGGGAGACTGTATCAAAAGGAATAACACATCCACTGCTTTCCCCTCATCCACAGACCCAGTTATCTCCTCATAGAAGGCAAGTAGGTTAGTCAGGCATGACTTGCCCTTGGTGAATCCATGCTGACTGTTCCTGATCACTTTCCTCTTCTCTAAGTGCTTCAGAATTGATTCCTTGAGGACCTGCTCCATGATTTTTCCAGGGACTGAGGTGAGGCTGACTGGCCTGTAGTTCCCCGGATCCTCCTCCTTCCCTTTTTTAAAGATGGGCACTACATTAGCCTTTTTCCAGTCATCCGGGACCTCCCCCGATCGCCATGAGTTTTCAAAGATAATGGCCAATGGCTCTGCAATCACATCCACCAACTCCTTTAGCACCCTCAGATGCAGCGCATCCGGCCCCATGGACTTGTGCTCATCCAGTTTTTCTAAATAGTCCCGAACCACTTCTTTCTCCACAGAGGGCTGGTCACCTTCTCCCCATACTGTGCTGCCCAGTGCAGCAGTCTGGGAGCTGACCTTGTTCGTGAAGACAGAGGCAAAAAAATCATTGAGTACATTAGCTTTTTCCACATCCTCTGTTACTAGGTTGCCTCCCTCATTCAGTAAGGGGCCCACACTTTCCTTGACTTTCTTCTTGTTGATAACATACCTGAAGAAACCCTTCTTGTTACTCTTAACATCTCTTGCTAGCTGCAACTCCAAGCGTGATTTGGCCTTCCTGATTTCACTCTTGCATGCCTGAGCAATATTTTTATACTCCTCCCTGGTCATTTGTCCAATCTTCCACTTCTTGTAAGCTTCTTTTTTGCATTTAATGTCAGCAAGGATTTCACTGTTAAGCCAAGCTGGTCGCCTGCCATATTTACTGTTCTTTCTACACATTGGGATGGTTTTTTCCTGCCACCTCAATAAGGATTCTTTAAAATACAGCCAGCTCTCCTGGACCCCTTTCCCACTCATGTTATTCTCCCAGGGGATCCTGCCCATCAGTTCCCTGAGGGAGTCAAAGTCTGCTTTTCTGAAGTCCAGGGTCCGTATTCTGCTGCTCTCCTTTCTTTCTTGTGTCAGGATCCTGAACTCGACCATCTCATGGTCACTGCCTCCCAGGTTCCCATCCACTTTTGCTTCCCCTACTAATTCTTCCCAGTTTGTGAGCAGAAGGTCTAGAAGAGCTCTGCCCCTAGTTGGTTCCTCCAGCACTTGCACCAGGAAATTGTCCCCTACACTTTCCAAAAACTTCCTGGATTGTCTGTGCACCACTGTATTGCTCTCCCAGCAGATATCAGGGTGATTAAAGTCTCCCATGAGAACCAGGGCCTGCAATCTAGTAACTTCTGCTAGTTGCCGGAAGAAAGCCTGTAGCATGATTTTTGTTGGGGGACGTTGCACATTCCTTTCTGATATAGCTCCTCTTCTGACTGTAATAAAGATGTAACAATTCACTGCCAATCAAACTGGGGAACACTGAATAGTGAAAGCTTTCAGGGCCAACTTTCGTGTATCCCGTACCATTTTTTTCAAGTCATCTTGAAGAAAAGACATGGAAATGAAGAATTGCTGTTTAAGGAGTCGCGCTCCTTCCATATCAAATCCTTGCTCCTTCCCTTGTTGCAGTGGGTCATGTAGAGCCAGTGGGCTTGTGTGGGAGGACAAACACTTGAGTTCTTTTTCTCTGGCATTCTCCTGTAATGCAGTTTGATTTCTGTTCTTTAATTATGTGATGACAGCTTGGGGTTTGGAATAGCAAGCAGAGGTGGTAACTGACAAAGGCATAATCATGGATCGTCTCTCTGTTGCCTCCATGGCACCACCCAACCTTATTTTAGAGATCTCCGACAATCTGCTCATCCCTTTCTCTAATTCAATTCAGATATCCGGCAAAGTTCAGTAGGCACAGCGTGGTTCCTGCTTAATCACTGTCCTTTTTTCAACTTTCGTTGCGTTCAGATTTTTTTTTTAAACAGAACATTCTCCATCACTTTTAATGAACCTTTACAAATAAAACTAGCAACAACAACAACAAAAAAGAAATCCCTTTTCGTTGAATTAGTTCTCTCCCCTCACCTCTCCTTTTTAGTTAAAAGCAATATAATTAATGTTAGTCGATTTTAGAAATAAAGGAATTGCCATATCATTGTCATGTCATTGACTATTACCTATAGTCCATGCTTTCTGGTATTCTGTCTCTGAGAGCAGCCAGTCCCAGATGCTTCAGAGGAAGGTGTATGAAAAGGTATAATGGATAACAATGAAGTAATATGCTCAAAGACCAAATTTTACCCCTGTCAGTGGCTGGCCTATGCACACTGAAGCAGGGTTTATGTCCTGTGGACATTTTTTAATCCTAACTACCAACCCCAAGCATTCAAAAATCATGAGACAGACCCCCTCCTCCCCAATAAAGAAATTGGCGTAATCACAAGATGTTTTTAAAAGAATAAATTTTAGGTGACTTTGTCTTTGGGTTCTTTGCCTTCGGTCACACATGCGTCCCATTTTCAAGCTTTTTTTCTGTAACCAGGAGGACTAGAAACGGAATTTTTGAAAAAATGGAAGCTGAGATTCTCATGCAGTTTCTTGATTCCAGGAGCTGGGGCTTTAAGAAATATGCCAAAAAATCAGAGTTGGCAACACTGCAAGGCCCCAAAATGGATGAAATGAGCAATTGCCAGATTCAGTATAAATATAGAAGTTCTTATTAAGCTTCCGTTTTGGAATTCTGCTATACTCTCCATCTCAATAATATCTTGTGGCAAATAGTACCAGGTGAATTGTGTTGTGTGGGGGGATTTTAAAGTGCTTTATCAGCTTTAAAATATAACACAGGGGTATATCCCTGCACTTTCTGATCCTGTGCAGTGTAGGGGCTACACCACCTTTGGGATGGTGCATGCTCTTCCTGGTCTTCTCTCTCTGCTCTGCCTTGGCCTTTCTTCCCTCATTCTTTTGCCTAATGTGTGCTCCCATAGGTACATAGAGGGAACACAAGGGCCAGATTCTCCGCTGAAATAATTTGCTGGAACCCTATTGATTTTGATTATTTAAACCAGCTGAGGATCTAGCACAGGGAGTACAACTTTGACTGAGCCCTGCACAGTGTGGGCAAGTAGAGGTGGACTCCTTTAGTCGTCTCTACCCATATACTTGCACTCGAGCTGGTCACGATCTGCCACTTGGTGCATACACTTGTACTTCTAAAAAATGCTTTTACTGTGTCTCTAATATCTGTGGTTTGATCTGATCTGTTCTGTGTAATAAGCAATACTTTCATTTCTTCCAATCTCCGTGTAACCATCTAAGCTGACTCTTTCCACTGAGTCTTTCTGGGCAATATATTTGGTTCACTGTCAGGCATTGTGACAAGGTGCAGTTAGCCAGCTTGCTGGTAGCTTAGAGAGCACTGAGGATACTGGGTATGAATAGAGTAGGAGGGATTTAAGTAGTTTGAGTGGGTTTGGAAGGTTAGAAGGGATCACTTGGACCTACAGAGAACCTGATGAGCTGATGGGGTAATTAGCTCACGGGTGGGATAGCTGGGAAAAGAAGGCAAGCAGTATAAAAGGCTGAGCCAGGGGGCAGAAAGAGAGACTTCTTCTAGTTGCTACTATATCCGTGATCTATCTGGTGCACAACGGAGAACAGTGACAATAAAGACACTTGGTGAGAGTACACTGGTAGGCCGTGTGTGCTGTTTAATTCACCCAGAGGTTTACCAGTCTACAGTGTTTCCAGGTGCTGAAAGGGAAATCAATTTACAGCCAGGCATTTATAATAAGGAAGTTCATAAAAACTGGCAACACACAAAAAATATTTTAGAACCTCAAATGCACAGATGAAGTCTCCTACACCAGCTACTTTTTCATAGCACAGCCTTTTGGTAGAAATGAAATGTTATTAAACTATTCTGTGTATCCAGTGTGCTATTTTTGATACAGGAAACCAAGGCTGGCTTTGGAAATGTATAGGATAAAAGTCAATACTGGTTCAGATTCATGTCATTATTTTAACCAAAACCTGAAGCCTGGAGTGGGTTTTCTTAAATAGCCTTGACTTCTATTGATTAGGAATGTTTGACTTTTCTGAGGAAAAAACAAGTGGAAAAAAATATGTTACAAATATGGATGTTGTGTTAATAATATAAACATTACTATTTCAGATAAAGAAGGCTGTGCAGCAGGAAGGCTTTGGCAGAAAAAAGCGAGGCTATAGAGAGATCAATGAAATTGACATAAACATGAATGATCCTTTATTTACAAAGCAGTGGTACCTGGTAAGCAAATCAGTCATTTTTAATAGAGATCTTCAGTAACCAAAAAACCCCACAGTTTACTTACACATTATTTCTTCTTATTGCAATAATCTGGGAACATGCCCTCCAGATTTCTCACCAGAACTTTGAACTTATTCCAAGAGAATTTTTCTCAGGATATATAGGGAGCCTATGCTGGGACTGGAGTTAGGGGCATGATCCAAAGTTCAATGATGTCAGTAGAAAGACTCTCATTGACTTCAGTGGGCTTTGAATCAGTGGGGGTTGTGTGAGCACTCATGCAGTACAGCCAGGATTGTTAAAACTGACAATGTACCTCAGTGTCAAGTCTCAGTGCTTTGCTTTAAGGAGCTCTTAATCATACGGACACAACCAGTGTCCGTGTGGAAGCTCATTAATGTGTGTTACACAACTGTTTGGAAAATATTGTCTTCCCCTCCCCTCGTGGAAAATTTTAGTTTTTCATCAAAAAGATTCACAAAGCTATTTAGCACAAATCTAAGGAGGGGGAAGGGCGTGCCCTGGATATAAGAGCTAGTCAGAACATTTTTGTTGAAACTTTGTTTTCCAACGGAAAATGTGGTTGTTTTTTTGTTTGTTTGTTTGTTTTAAATTGAAACATTTTAAAAAATGTTGACTTTGACAAAAATTCCAGGAAAAAATAAAACAAAAAAAATCATTTCAGAAAATTTTCATTTAGGAAAATTATGGATTTAAATGTCAGAATTTCAATATTTTGTTTCAGAATTTTAAAATTGTTTTGAATTTTATTTTTTCATTTTATATTTATTTTTACATCATTTCTTGACATGTCAGTAGTAGAGTAGCATAACATGCACTCCTACTACAGATGTGTCAAAATATGACAATATAGTAGTTATTTGTATTTTATTTTACTTTTTAAAATCGTTAAGGGTAGTACTGATTTGAAACGTATTATATTATTTCCTAGATCAAAGTGTCTCCTATTTGTGTTATAATGAAACAATCTATTAAACTATTTCAGATATTGTTTTCAGTGTTGTAATCATGTTGGTTCCAAGATATGAGAGAGACAAGGTGAGTGAGGTAATACCTTTTACTGGACCAACTCCAGTTGGTGAATTAGACAAACTTTTGAGCTATGTGGAGCTCTTCTTCAGGTCTGGAAGAGGTCAATTCAACTATCTGTTTCATTACAACACAAACGGGAGACACTTTGATCTAGAATGGAATATAAGAAGTTTCAATCAGCACTAAGTAGCAGCTGCCGTGAATGATTTCAAAATTTCAGAATGAAAATTAGAAATTCCAAAAGAAAATTAGAAATTCAGAATTAAATTTTGATATGAAAATTTTCCTAAATAATTTCTTTTGAAATTTCCAGTTTGGGAAATGTCACAAATATTTTTTTGAGTCCAATTTGGAACAAAAGACACTTAGAAATATCAAACCAGAAACTGTGAGTGTCAACCAGTTCTACTGTTGATGATGGAAGGGAAATAAGGGATGTGGTGGGAGTTCAGAACATGTCTAAGCAATTCAACGATCTATAATTGAATATAGTCCTTGAAAAAATGTTTATCACAAATAGAGGTTATTGTGTATATTGTTTTATGTCCTTAGTGAGAATATATTTGAGGTGAGATTGAGCAGATACCCTCAAACATCTGACCAACGGGTTGGTATAGAAGCGCCCTATCTAAAGCCCCAGTCCAACAAGGGAATTAAGTGTGTTTAATTTTAAGCATATGAATAATCCCACTTGATTTCAGTGGGACTACTTACATGTTTACGTGCTTCTCTGGAGTGGAATCTAAGGGCCTGATCCTGAATTCACTGGGAGTTCTACACATGGGAGCCTTGTGAGATCAGGCCCTAATAGGAGTCAAACCTTATGCTGTCTCAGAATTCTCTTGCTCTTGTGGGTTTATTTTTCCATCTTCCATATTATATAAATATGTGCTCCAGGGTAAATGAGACATACCTGGCATAGGGTACGTCTTCACTACCCGCCGTATCGGCAGGTAGCAATCGATTTATCCGGGATCGATATATCGCGGTCCCCGAACGCGCTCACCGTCGACTCTGGAACTCCACCGGAGCAAGTGGCGGTAGCGCAGTCGACGGGGGAGCCGCGGCCGTCGATCCCGTGCCGTGTGGACCCCAGGTAATTAGATCCAAGATACTTCGACTTCAGCTACGCTATTCGTGTAGCTGAAGTTGCGTATCTTGGATCGATCCCCCCAGTGTAGACCAGCCCATAGAATATATGCAGTACGTACTAGGAGAAACTCAGTGACTGTAGATAATGGACTATCTGTGCACACACAAAAAAGAAGAAATAGTAATTCTCTTTTGCTTTTCAACTGATGTATTAGATCAACACTGGTCAAGCAGATGGGACCCCTGGACTTGATCTAAATGTGGCTGAAGCCTGGGAGCTGGGATATACAGGGAAAGGTGTTACCATAGGAATTATGGATGATGGTAAGTGAGGATTCCAATCCACCCAACTAAATTGGTCTTCAGCATTGGTTCTCCACTTGTAAGGTAACTCTCTTCTCTCCATGCATCTGAAGAAGTGGGTTTTTTACCCATGAAAGCTTATGCCCAAATAAATCTGTTAGTCTTTAAGGTGCCACCGGACTCCTCATTGTTTTTCAAGACATGTAAGACAGTTTTAGAGGTTTAAATAGCTTACTTAGTATAATCTTATGCAAAAACTTTTTTAAAAAATTTGAAATAAAGTATAACCTAGATTAATGATAATGCCAATGCTGCTCTCCAGATTCTGTAAAGACTATGAGATTGGCAGGGGAAAGGCACCATAAGCATATGTGTTATAATTGGGCCATTGAAGTGTGAACATCCAAACCTTATTCAACTTTATAAATCACACACACAGTTCTTTTGTGGCCATTAGCTGAACGTGAGGACTCACATTGACTTCAGTGGGCTTTCAATGGGGATTTCAATTGCCTTGCACACAGTAGATATAAGAGCATTTTCCCTTGTTAAAATATTGACAGTGTACAGCAGAACCAAAATAATTAATACTTTCTCACTGGATGTCCATAATGATCAGCATATTATATACATTAATAGTTTAGGGTAAAATGGGAGTGGGAGAGAAGATACAGCATGTTGAAAACACAGCTGTACTTTGCATGGATTCATCAGACTGTCAAAATACAAGAAAGACAAGGTAGGTATGGCAACATCTTTTATTGGATCAACTTCTGCTGGTGGAAGGTACAAGCTTTCAAGCTACAGAGCTCTTCTTCTCTCATGACCTGGGCCAACAAACACAGCTTCAACAACACTGCAAACAAAATACAGGGAGTCTCTTAAATTTTCTCAGCACTTTTGAGCTAGTTAAATTTTGCCATGGTGACTGAACAATACTAAAAATAAGTGAAAGGCAAAAATCTGTCTGGGGATGGGGCAAAAAGCTGTCTGGGATTGGTCCTGCTTTGAGCAGGGGGTTGGACTAGATGACCTCCTGAGGTCCCTTCCAACCCTGGCATTCTATGATTCTATGAAACCAGCAGTATCTTCAGTGATCCACTGGGATCTGTCCCTGTTCTATTCTGGCACCCCCCCTTGTTCCATACTCAAGTGAGACAGCTGGGTAAATAGTGAGGGAGATTGGCCTGTGGTTACATCAGTATGTGGCTGTCTCACAGCTCTCTTCCTTGTTTTCATTGGTCCCATTTAGCAAGGACTGTATTTTTAGAGACTGGGCACAATTGCAACCTGGGTGACAGTGAGCTGGTTGAAGCTCAGTCTAAATTAGGCCACTGAGGCAATGCTAGTTAGCTGTAGGATACATTTAGAGAATGGAGCATGGAAGGAGTTTTTCCCCCTGTGACTATTCTAGCAAACCAGTTACTTGCAGGAATGTTCACCAACCCAGCACATTTTAAACAAATGTTTGCAGAAAGCCAATTCTGAATTTGTAAATGTGAATATTTACACTTCTAAGAGTTATGATCATCCAGTCAAAGAACTGAAACATTGTGTGTGACCTGTGAAGGCTGCCAACGCAGCTCAAATTACCAAGAGCCCTTGCTCCCTCGTCATTTACATCACATTTGCTGAATTGTTTTGGTGGGATGGGTGGGTGGAATGTGAAACAAAGTCACATTTTGTTTTGACATTTTTTCAATGCCATTTAGATTTTTTATGAGTTTTCATTTTGATATTTTTTAAGCTGTTTTGGGTGTAAACAAATTTTTTCAATCTCCTTGGTTCAGCCATTGAACCAAGAAATCAGTTATTTTCACAGATCTAGATTAAATCCATGGACAATATTGTTTTGTTTTGCAGAATTTATGCATTATGTGTTTCTCTTTGTTTCTGGACAGAATCACAGAGAAGTCATAAATTTTTCATTGTTTTTGTGCAAAACTATAAATAGGCCCAGTTCGCTCAAAATATCAATGAATGTGAGTGAATCTGTGGGGGATTTTCTAATTTGTAACCAAATTCAGAAGCAGATAACTGAATGTCACATGTCTTAAATGTCACACACATCTAGTTTTAAGCTCAGTAAGCACCATGAAATACCTTAGTAAGCTGAATGCTCAGTCTGTAATAATATTCAGAAGTTTGCAAACCAATCTGATCCACCATTAAGAATTCTCTGGCACTATTTGCGGAAACAGACATGTTTGCCCCAGTGATCTCTCCATTTTAATTTAGGTAATATTCTGCCTACTTAATTTTCCTGTGCAGTTTCCAATGGCTTTACTCTCCTACACTTGTGTATTAAAACTGTATGCTATTAGGGCCTGAATCCAAAGCCCACTGAAGTCAATAGGTTTTTAATCAAGCCTTTAAAATTTTGCTGTTTTCTTAACCAGAGGTGGCTGCATCTTAGTGGTGGGTGAAGTAATCTGTTTGTCAATATATTCAATAATAGAATATATATATACGTTTGTAAAGTATTTTGGGATCCTTTCATTTGAAAGGTACTATATAAATGTAAAATATTACTAGAACTATCATTACTAACCATAAATGATCCAATGTAGATACTTGTCGCATACATTTGGTGGCTCATTTCACACTTTTGGGTGCAAATTGGCACTTAGGTACTGATTTACTGGATTAAAGCTCCCAACTAAGCTCACAGCAGAACTGGTACCCTAATTTAAAAGTCCACATATGAACAGTCTCAGTCCAAACAAGCTTTGAGACCAGCATTATTCCTTATTATGGTTTTTCCTATAGTAGCAATCGACTCTTATTGTGCTTTATGGTTATTATAAAGTGTTTGTTGTAGGGGTTTTGGTTTGGTCTGTGGTGGTTTTTTTTTTTTTTTTTTTTTTGGAATGTTAACCTTCGGTTTGTGTGCTTCTTTGTCTTATTGCAGGAATTGATTATCTTCATCCTGATCTTGCCTCAAATTATGTAAGTACACACTGACCTTTCCTGTAAAATGTGAGGCTCTTCATTGTTTTGGTCTGTCTTTCATACAAAATGTTTACACACTGAATGGAGGAAATGCACAGCTGAGCTACTGATCTTGCAGATGATAAATTTTACATAGAAAACAAGTGATCTAAAAATGGGACCTGGCAACTTGCCAGACATGAGCTTCCTGGGTAAGGAATGAAACAGTGAGAAGGAATGATGGTGTTGCCTACCTTTAAATAAGCTGCAGTTTGCAATATTGGATTTAGGACAGAAATGAGTAACCTGGGAATTGGCTCCAAATCTTGCTGTTAAAATGCAGAATTCACCTATTCTGTGGAGAACAACAGATGCTACTGCCGTGGGCTGTGGCTGGGCTGCTGTTTGTTCACAATGGCTATAGTGTGTATGAGAGTTTGAAAACTACGGTAACCATATACTTCATTTACAACATGTGATTAAATTCAACATTTCAGAGCATTCCCAGATCCTGCACATGAACTGTGTGTCTGTAGCACAGTCAGACACTGTGTACAGTGTAAAATGCTTGTTTCTTCAAACTCACCTCTGATTTACCTCCATTGTCATGGGCTCTTATCTCTTCATATTCTAGACTCCATTCTCATTGTCCTGTCATCTTTGATATTACTGCTGTCTGTCTACCTGCTTCTGCTGGTGCCCTCAGTTGCCACTCTCTGTGTTATGCTTTTTTTTTTTACACTGAAACTGATTGCTATGGTTAGGCCATTTGTTGTGCAATGGGGCTCAAAGAAGCGTAACACTGATGGGGCTTTTGCAGCTCTTAGGTAGCCAGTATTGCCTCTTCCTTGAAACCACACGCACAATGGGTGTGGCTCTCATTGCATATCAAGGTGAGAGGGTGTGCCACTTTCCACTTTCTGGAACATTTTTTGAAACGTCTTTTTGCCATGCATACTTCCCCCCCCCCATTCCACATAAGGGATTGATTCCATGGTCTTTGTTATAGGGCTATGTAACAAGAGGGTTGTGGGGTGGGGGTTTGGAGAGCCAGTTGGCCTCGTGGCTAATGTACCTGGCTTCCTGCCCCTGCTTCTGTGGTTGAGGTGCCTCAGTCTTTAAGACAGGGGAGTAGGGGGACCTGGGCCCTCCCACTCCATCAGGTCATAGCCCAGGGCCCTGTGTATGTCACCCCTGAGTAGGGGACTTCCCAGCAGAGAGTATACATTCATTGCCCTGGGCTACTTCCTACTGTTGCCTCATTAGCTTGAGGCATGGCCCCTATAGTCTAAGCTCCTGTGGTGGCTTGTCTCTTAGTAGTGCCCCCTTGTGGACCCTGGGTGACATCCTGATGTGGTCCCAGATTCCTCAGGGCAGGGCAGCTGTAAGTTTGGTGGGATCAGAACCCCCACAAGATCTCCATGCTTTAGTCAGCCAGGTTCCTCTCAGGCCAGGTGCTCCTAGGTCTCATTCTCCATCTCCTTTGGCCAGGAAAACACTACTTGGGCCCGTGGTGGCTGTCTTGGCCAGCAGGCTAGTGATCCTTCCCTCAGGTAGCTCCTGCGTCTTCGCCTGTCAGCCCCGAACTGAGCCAGGATCCCTCCTTTTCTCTCCCCTCCAAGCCTGGCGTTGGCTGCAGATATAATGGGGTGGAGCTAGCTGGAATCAAAGGCTCTCCTTAAGCCCTTCCATGCTGGTGAGTGGTTCCTCTGCGCTTCAGCACAGGCTATTATAATGTATGCCAATTTTTGTGTACGGAAGATGTGAGAGAGCTCAGTATCACAGTTTTCTTTCGATATGAAAGGTGAAATTCACCACTGTGCACAGGTCTGGCACAAGGCTCATGCATTGCTTAAGTCTCATTTAAACTATATTTTGTAAGTTTAAACAGGACTTAAGTGGTGCATAGACCTTGTTCAGGCTCTCTACACTGGGATGTGATTCACAATAAAGGAATATACAAAAACATGCAATGTACTATGCCTATCACATGGTCCTGGGTAATCTTTAGCTATACAATAGGCTCATTGATGTCATCTCTGTTTCATATTAATGAGTTGCTGTGAAAGATAAGCACAGCTTATAATCTTGTCATGTCTATATCTGTGGTCAGCCGTAGAGCTAATGTGGAGAAAGGTAATTCAGTTTCACAGAGGATTTTGGTATTTCAGAATCTAGTTTCATTCTGATTTGGGACAAAACCCAAAGATTTCAGTCCCCTGTGAAAGGGAGTGGAGCCCTGACTCAGGCCTGGCGGGCTGAAGAGCATCTGGGAGCCTAAAAGCCTCAGCTAAGCTGGAGGCCAGATGGGCTGCTGAGAAGCCAGATTGGCGAGTGGACAGGTAGGATTCAATCAGACCCCAGCCTCTGTTCTGTTAGAACTTTGATAAAATTGAACCATCTTTGTGCGATGTTTAGATTTGGATGAATTGGCAGTCTCCAATGTAAAATCGACCAGCTCTAATCAACTGTTCTAAATCACCCAACGTATAGCTCTGCTGAACAATCTCAACTTGTCCCAGGCATTTTCTCCATCCATTAGACAGTACAACTACTGCCATTCTTTTCAATTGACTTATTGCTACTACAGTGAGTTTTCTTGTTGTTTAATATTGTAAGGTGTGGTTACAAATTTTATGAATTTGGGAATCCTGAAAGCAGAATTGCAAACAGATTTGATTTCCAAGTGTGATTAAAACGAACAAGAAAAGCTAGAATTGATGGTTAAAGAGAGATTACACACATACACTGGCACAAAAACGATAGGGGAGATGATGATACATTTATTCTTACATAGGATTCTTTTCAGCCAGCTATTTTTAAAACAGTTTCAAAATCCTCCAGTGCAATTTAAGAGAATAACAAGCACACACAAAGGGTGAAATTCTGGCTCCATTGAAGTCAATAGCAAAGTTCCCACTGACTTCAACGGAGCCAGGATTTCACCCGGACTGTGTAGAAGAGGGAGGCGTCCAGGAATGGCAATGCACTTGGAAAATAGCTAATCAAAGAATGTAAAGTGCAGGGTGGTCGGTTTCATACCTTATTAATCTACTTAATGATTTGATTGCAGTTATTAAATCCTGTGTTTTAATTACAATATACTTATCCCAAATGAGTGACTAAGCCAGTTTATTTAAATTGAAACAAATAAAGTACTCTACACAAAGATGACCTTTACATGTGTGTTTTTTACATCTAGATCCAAGTGAATAGCATATGTTATTACTACTATTAATACATCATCATTTATCCAGCAGGAATAGTGTGGACAAAACATGAAAGATGACTCTGTCTCTAAAAAGTTTATGCTTTGAATAGAGACACAAGGTGGGTGAGGTGGTATCGTTTATTGGACCAACTTCTGTTGGTGCAAGAGATAAGCTTTTGAGCTTACACAGAGCTCTTCTTCAGGTCTGGGAAACATATGCAAAGTGTCACAGCTAAATACAAGGTGGAACAGATTGTTTAGCATAAGTAGTTAACACATATTTCAAGGGACCTTCCACCTTGAACTGGGAAATGAATATTGGCAGGCTTTGCAGCAGTGTGTTTTAAGACTATATTTGAAATGCAGAGAGGATTCTCGATGCATCTGGTAAAGGAGGGAGTCCCAGGAGTCAGGAGAAACATGGAAGCAGGCGCAAGCATAAGAATGTGAGAAGGGACCAAGTTAAAAAGGGAGTGTGGGCAGAAGAAAGGAAGCGTGGGGGAGCAGGGGAGAGGTGAGAGCTAGGAAAAATGGAACCAGAATGGTAGGCAACAGCAGAGCCGTGCAGAGCCTTCAAACTGGCTGCCCTTGATGTGGAATGTGAGCAGCAGCCATTAAGGTCAGCAGGAGAGTGACATTGTCCAAGCAGAGGGTGAGGAAGATGATTTTGGCAGTGACATCTTCAGTGGACTGCAGGGAACGAGCTGGGAAGCCATAGAGAGAGAGAATAGGTCAGTGAAAGATAAGGGATTTGTTTATAGGGATGGAGGGGAAAGGGTGGAATTTAGAAATGTTGTAGAGGAAAAGCAACAGTACTGAGTGACAGGCTCAATAGGGGGAAGGAAAGAGGGAGATGAAAGTGACGTTGACATGAGTAACAGAGAGAAAAGGACTTTCCAGCAGTGATGGAGAAGGGATCAAGAGGGGAGCAGAGGGCAGGAAAGACAAACACACAAGAAAAACACCACGAAAGCTTATGCTCAAATAAATTTGTTAGTCTCTAAGGTGCCACAAGTACTCCTGTTCTTTTTGCGGATACAGACTAACACGGCTGCTACTCTGAAACAAGAAAGATCGTGGTCCCTGTCTGACAAGGTCACCCTCTAAAACACCAACACAAATTTGATCCATTTAATACAAGAGCCTAAAAACATGAGGAATAAATTGAAATAAGCCATTGTGTTTCAAAGATATCACAGAGCTTCCACAGAAAATGATATCCATATAATCAAGGCAAGGACAATCTATATAGCTGGTCCATGTGTCCTAGATTCAGTATGAATTAGCTGGAGATATAGGACATGGCACAGTAATATCCCGATCCACACTAATAATCATATTTAAGCCAACGAACAAAAAGCCATTTGAAAATGTCGTCATCATCTGGCGCAAGCACGTTACTTATACAGTGTGACAGACCCAGACCAGTGGGGTACAGGAGTCTGGTAGAGGGCAAATATACTGGTCACTGGATGAGTAGTTTTCTGTTCCCTGAGTGACCAGAGCAGGGGCTGCACTAGAGTAATCAGGAACCTGCTAGAACCAGTTAAGGCAGGCAGGCTAATTAGGACACCTGGAGCCAATTAAGAAGAAGCTGCTAGAATCAATTAAGGCAGGCTAATCAGGGCACCTGGGTTTTAAAAGGAGCTCACTTCAGTTTGTGGTGCGAGTGTGAGGAGCTGGGAGCAAGAGGTGCAAGGAGCTGAGAGGGTGTGCTGCTGGAGGACTGAGGTGCACAAGCATTATCAGACACCAGGAGGAAGGTCCTGTGGTGAGACTAAGGAAGGTGTTTGGAGGAGGCCATGGG